TTGGCGTTGATGAAAAGCAAAACTTAATATTCTATGTCGACGTGAAGCACAACGTGCTTGTGGCTAGACCTGAATCGGTAGCTACGAGCAATGCGAAGATGGAGCAACTGATCATAAACGTGGTGGACACGAGTACGGACACAGCCTCGCCGGACGTCGCCACGGAAATGTTGATGGGCTTTCATGCACGTTTCGGTCACTTGGCATTGTACACCATTGAGCGTATGGCAAATGACCCTGCAACCGGCATCAAGATATCGAATCGCGACCGGAAGCCCTGCATGGTTTGTGCTGAGGGTAAACAGACTCGAGCGAATCAACCGACTAAAGACACTGGGGAACACGCACCGATCGATAAAGTGGGAGGAGTCATCTGCAGCGACCTCAAGGATGCTACGACGCCACTTGACCGCCAAGGTAGCCGCTGCATGGTTAACTTCGTAGACCACAAGTCAAACTACTGCAAGGTGTTCATGGCAAAGAAGAAGAACCTGGCTACAAAGAAGTTCGAGGTCTTTCATTCGAGTTCGAAAAACGGTTCGGCGTTCGTGTGCATGTTCTCCGGACGGTGGAGGAGCGTACCGAGACGTGGATATCTTCTGCAAAGATAACGAAGTGGCTCGTCAGGTGTCAGAAGTCGGAAATCAAGCTGCAAACAGCAAGGCGAAGCGGATGCATCGCACGGTCCTCAACATGGCTCGGTGCATGGTGTTCGGTGCAGGATTGCCGCTGTGTTTCTGGGGTGCCGCGGCTGAGTACGCGACGTATGTGCTGAACAGTAGCTTGTCACGGGCTAACGAGGATCGGAAGTCGCCGCTCGAAGTGCTGACTGGCGAAGCACCAAACCTTCGCGATATTGTCGCGTTTGGATCAAAGTGATACGTGTTTCGTGACCCTTGAAAGCGCGTTATGAAGAAGAGGGCGAGTGAGGGCGTCGTCGTCGGCAAGGACGAATCGACCTAGGGGTACAAGGTGTACCTGCCTTCGGAGAACAAGATGATCGTCACGAGGCATGTGCAGAACATCCGTGCGCTGGAGGAGAAATCCGATGTGAAGACACCGACTGCTCAATCTCCCACGACGACGACGCCACCGGCACCACGTTCCACGCCACGAAGATCTTGTCGCTCACGCCGCAAGTCGCGCCGCCGTGCTGAAGATGATGGAGACGTGGAGGTCGACGAGTCAAGGCTGAACACTGAACCTGTGGCTTTGACCGAATCCGAATTTGAGGATATCAATTCCCACGCTAATGACCCAGAACCGAAGGGTTACAGGCAGGCGCGGAAATGCGCCGAGAGAGCGCTTTGGGCGGCAGCTGAAAAGGAAGAACTTGAAGCTCTACAGGCGAATAACACGAGGAAGCTGGTCAAGTTCGAGCCTGGCAGCGCTCCCTTGCATACCAAGTGGGTGTACAAGAAGAATTGAACAGGCATGGGTTTGATCGAGCGGTACAAGGCTCGACGAGTCGCCTGTGGCAACAAGCAAAAGTTCGGCGTTAACTTCTTTCTCGTGTTTGCGGCTGTGATTACCATGACTGGTGTCAACTTTATCTCCGTCATTGCAATCATATTGAAGGTGCCTGCCAGACACGACGACGTTCCAAACGCGTATGTTAAGGCGAAAGGAGGAGGGTATCAATATTTAGCTGTTTGTCCCCGACGGACTCGTTATCATGGAGGAAGAGCTGAAGACGCTCGGGGCTGAGAGCGTGGATGAAGTTGGTCTACTTCTTGGTCAGAGCATTTACGGTCTGAAACAAGCAGGACGCCTTTGGCATGAGCACCTTCATCGTGAACTGGTCAAGCTTGGGTTCATTCAGTGCATTACGGACGCGTGCCTGTACTGCAACGCTGACAGCGGCGGAAAGACGGTCGTCGGAACGTACTGCTGGTTACTGGCACGGACAAGAACAGGGTTTTTCCAGTTTTTCGCTGACATGTCCGTGCTGGAGCTCAAGAATCTCGGTGTTGCCAGCAATTTTCTTGGAATGCGCGTGCAGTTCGACGAGCTCAGTGGCTACAGGTGTGACCAAGAAGCTGCACTCGTCGAGATGCTCACCAAGTTTGGATTGGACGAGGCGAATTCGGTGCGATCGCCGATCGAAGGAGAAGACGCGGCAGAGTCAGATTTGGCACAACTACTTCCGCACGCAGCAAAGGAAATCGCGTCAGCAGGGCCGACGGAGACAAATTTCCAGTCACTGGTGGGGAGTTTGCTGTCGATTGCGAGATGCACGCGTCGGGACATTACGTTCGCTGTACACTGTGTAACGCGACAGACGCATGCAACAACGATGGCGGATTGGAAGCTGGCTAAGCGCATAGCCAGGTAACTGCGTGGCACCCGATCGCACGAGATGGATATGTCTGACGATGACAATGCTAAAAGGCTACCACTACGATTGCGCTCGTATACGGACGCCGACTTTGCAGCGGAAAAGAGCGACCGCAAGTATGTGAGCGCGGCAATCATCCCAGTAAACGGAATGACGGCGTCATGGTAGTGTAAGAAGCAAAGTTTCGTGGCACTATCGACGACCGAGGCGGAGTACGTTGCTGCGACGGTGGGTTCTCAAGAGCTACTGGGGCTGAAAGAGCTATTGGGTGAGTTGGATATTGCCACCAAGCTTCCTATGCCCATGCTGGTGGACAACCAAGCGGCTATCGTGCAAGTGCAGACCGAAACGAGCTCGGCCAAGGCGAAGCACGTAGACGTCAAGCTCAAGTTCATCCAAGACTGCGCGAAGAAGGGCGTCGTGGTGCCAGATTATGTGGCTAGCGCGAAAATGCTTGTCAACCTGCTGGCGAAGATGCTGCCGGCGCCACGGGTGAAGAGGCTACGGGAGATGATCGGACTCGTCGACATCGAGTGATTCAGGAACCCCGATGCTCTAGGGAGGAGTGTTGGACATAGATGTAAGATCCAGCCAACGGGCAGGCGATCGGAAGCCAGACCCCCTTACGCAAGTGTCGAGTCGACAATGCTAAAGGTACGACATTTTGATTTGGTTTCACTATTGAGACCGATCGGATCGAGTGAAGGTGCGTGTCTTTTCAGGTTATTGTGTAGTGTGCATGTAGAATTTAACTAAAAACGCCTTTGAATAAATTTCTCACTTTCACTTCTACCTTTTGCCGAGCAAGTGCCCAAACAACACAGCCTCTAGGCCTACGTCGCAAGCTTGCCTAGTCTCCTTCAACGATGTAAGGTCTGCATGAAAGCTGTTAAAACAAATGGTAGTATAAAGAGTACTACTTACCGCTTATGATATACAGACTCCGCCCAGAAACTGAAAAGAGGGGACCTTCTAAGTTCCCAAATGTAACGGCGTACAATCCAGTGTGCCCCATGCTACATATAGAGTGACCCGGCACTTTTGTGGACACCTAGTACATGGTACCAGGTGCTCTCAGAGCCAGTCAGGGCACGACTACTTAGCTCCGCTAAAGGTAACCTCTAGTTTGTATGGAACCCAAGCTAATCTTACTTATAAATAAGTCAGTCTTACATCTACTCTTCTAAGTGGCAAACCGTTCCCACTGAGGTCGGGAACACGTGGACTAACGTTTACTCGGGTAGTAAATACACTTAAGCACTTCCTCTTGGCAAGGTGCTGTGTGACCCCGTCTCACCAAAGGATATCGAGTAAGCATAGGCTTTGGATTCCTGCAAATCATTAGTACCACGTATGTTTTGGCTGAAAAGGCTGAAAGTAGATGATCGCGTTTGCGAGGGTATACTCTGTATATGTCATTTCAGTCTCTTGGCGGAGTCGGTAGTATTAGCGGAGCACTCAAACGAAACAAAACGGTTATGACATGGTTTACGAAATGGAAGTGAGTACAGCGCCCAACTGAGATGAAGGGGGTGAAAAAGCGTGCAAATCAAAACGGAGAAGACCCCCACTGAGGCAAGCGGATGCGAGGTCGCGTAGCTGCAACAAACCCGCGCGGGGTGCCCGTGTAGCATGGCCGTGCGGTATTTGCGGAGGCGGGTCCAGCGCCGAGCGCCGAGCATTGCACTCTCCAGGTGAGAGAATCTTTTTATTGCAGGAGCGTAGCGACTGCCTTTGCGACACGAAGCGGAGCAAATCTTAAGATGTAAATTACACCCGTCCTCGATTTCTGAGGGTGGTGCAAATTAATATTGGATTGTACTTTCTCAGTTGGGCGCAGCAACGAGTGCCATACGAAATCACTCGTTTAATCACGTCCATTGGGTGCCTTCCAAAACCTACATAGAATGTTTTCATCAGTAGGGTTAGGGCGCATTAAAGGGAGTAATAAACTTAGCGATTAAACTTGAATTGTTTGATAAGACCAAAAAGTGGTCGGACCAAACTATTCATTAAACCGAGTTTTGGTAAAGCTTAATTGCACTCCGATTTAGCAACTACATCAAAAATGTATCTAGGATTTAGTATGTACTCAAAGCGAAACTCCAAACGGGCAAGTCCGTACGCATTGAAGTATGGGTATCTTCAAGGGACTACAGTAGAAGACGACAGTCATAGAGAATTTGAGGCAGTTCTCACCTAGCAGCTCGCTTTATGGCCGGGGTGCCCGGCGTGCCCCACTAGCGATATACATATATGTGCTGGTTAGCGTGATGCAAATTGAGTGTCACATTAATTTTTGTTGGACCATCCGACGCTAATCCTGCATTCCCTCCTTACCGTTACGAAAATGAAGTCAGCATGGCTAAGGTGTTAGTCGTTTGTTGCGAAGACGTTGTGCTACTACTTGTTGTTCAATTGTGTTTTCGGTGTCTCGGACGATGTTTGCTCGCTTGTGTGGTGACGTTTCGTCGGTGGAGAAGCCATTGGAGCGTTGTGTTGTGGCGTTGCGGAGAGTTTGCGTTTAAGCTTGTTGGTACCAAGTGTTTCAGTAGTGTTTGCGTCGCCGTGGTCATCGGTTGTACTGTCCGTGGTGTAAGGTGCCGTACACACCACTCTGTCCGTAGCGCAAATATGCGTCACCCATGCTTGTGGCATTTTTTTACATGCTGAAATTGAAAAGGTGGCGAATCTCGTACACCGTGCCTGTTGCATTCACCAAGTGTAAGTAAAAGTGTGCTTTTTTAGATGTTATTGTCATTTAATAATACATGAGGAGAACGTACCGGGGACAAAGAGTGAGAGGTCGATTGGTTCCCACATAGTAAGGCGACAGGTTTCGCCGTTTGTTATTTTGGTTGGGACCGAAAGGATCATCTTGCGCACCTTAACGAAAGACTGGGCGGACTCGGCGTCGACGAATTCTAGGTGCGTTCCGTTGGAGCTATCTGCCAGAGTACCAAGTCATGAAGTAAGTGTGATGCATATGCAAGCGGACAGTACTTACCGCTTGTGAAGTGGTCGCCGCGAAGAAAACACATACGCACTGCGCATGTTTGTTCATTCGTGGTGTTCAGCGTTAATACGAATTCTGCGAGCCCAGGGACCGTAGTGAAAAGTCGTTCGTGCGCATCGAGGCGCTTTTGAAGACGGGCGAGATGTGCCATGAGCGTTTAGAATTGTTGTGGCGTGCATGCGCGGATGGCACGGACAGCTACAACCCTATTGTCCCGGCCAAAAAGGCTTGGACGGAAAATAAAAAAGTCAGGTGGCCCAAATGAATTTGATAATATCTCGTCTTCCTGATGAGAGCTTAAGACGTGCTTACCCTACTTTGTTAGATGCCTGTCTTAAGAAACTGCTCAGGCATGCAGTGCGTCTTACATGAGAGCGGTATAGTCTAAATTGAGCACGTAATTTATTATCTCTATAGCGAAAAGATGGAAGGTATAAGTCCTTACATACTTGACCTACCATAACTTAAGCTCAGCGCAACTTTAAGTCCTCATCTTTCTCCAGTATGCTAAGTGGAATGCTAGCTTCATGCAGCGCCAGGTTTGAGCCAATACGGGCGTCTGTGAGGAAAGCTATAGGCCGAGTCCATCGTCTATCGGTGACCACCGTGCTGTTGCTGTTACATATCAAAAATATCATTGCAGTAGTCGTACTGCAAATGTATAAGATATTGCAGGTATGAATCAATTTGATTATCTCAGATCGAGCTGAACGACTGACGGATCTATGCTATATTAAAGGAATTGTAACACCAGCTGTATCATGTTAACCATGATGGTAAAAAAAACACGATGGGCGTCATTTATTGAAATTTATCCAAAATGATTGGGAATCTCCGGCTGCTATCCTGCTTAAGCCAATCGTAGAGACAGAAACGCTGTACGTGGCAGGCTATTAATTGCAAAGAATTCTGCAACAAATAGTGGGTCTTTTCGACAGCCAGAATGAAGGGGAAGGGCTTCGATTCGGACTCAGCACCCATTTTTTACCCTATATATCTAAATGTCGATATAGGTTTTAGAGCGGCAAAACACCTTAATTATAGCGCAAAGTCCGTACAAGGTTTGGTGGCCGGGACAATAAGATTAACTGTCGCGTTGCAGATTTGGGCGATGTGCGGTTCACCTCTCTCAGTTTAGATACATTCGTGTAATGAAGGATCGAGATGGTGTTTTGGCGATGTACGGTGCATTTCGTGTCGTGTGTGTGTGACGTGGTCGAAATTGAACATAAATGTGGACTTAATTCTGTTTTGACAGCTCATGCATGCATGCAAACGTAGTTATGGTAACTCGGTAGTTCGAGTTGCCGTTTGTGCTGAGAGCTTGTGAAGTCGCCGATCTTCTCGAGTATGTCTGCTTTTGGCCTGAAAAACTCAAAGTCGAGGTCGTCTAGTTGCGACCGATCCAATATAGACCGGCGCGAGTCGAACCCGTGACAGCGATACGTACAGTGCGTGGTGGTCCACTGTGCGGCAGTGCGGAGGTCGTAAGTCGGTGACGACAATTTCGTCTCGCGTGTCGCCCTGCATGCCATGCACGGTGATGCCAAATGCCGGTACAATCGGAAACCCTTTGATGGAAATCGCCTCTTTGTTTAGCTTAAACGAGACCTTCGACTGGACAATCGGCATAACTGACGCTGGCCATTGCATTGGGTTACGTGTGAATCGCGTTGGTGTGGGGTTGTTGTGGATGTCGACGTATAAATTCGTTGGAGGCTCCGATGCGACAAATACGTTATCCTGCTTTTGCTCGAATGTGGTTCCTGGGCGCCAGTCAATGTGAAACAAGTTGGCGCTAGCTCCGTTCGCGACGTTCTTCGGGATACATTGGTTCGACTTACGCGCACCGGCATGCCTGTCATTGAATCGCATTATTAGTGTTATTGTCATAATCATGTGATAGATTGCGCAATTGCGTACCGATGTAAGTCTTTAGGAACACGGGAATGTTGCCTGTTTGGTTGTCTGGCAAGTCGGTGATTTTTGCAATTTTTGCGGGCGTCAGTGTCGCTGGCAATTGTGCTGGCACGGCATATACTTTGCGTTCTGGTGGAAATGTGCGGCTGGCAGTCCGGATCGCGGCGTCATTGATTCGTTTGTGGTACGCATTGTCTGTTGAGATGATTTGAATGAGCTGACCGTGCCGATTGTCGGCTGGCGGAGGACCGACGCTGCCGAGGAATGAACGCAGATCCGGCGTCCAATTTCCTAGACGTGCCTCTGCAAGCCATTCCCCCCATTCCGGGTCGTCCACAAAGCGCATGTTTTGCGTTAGATAGACGACTTTGTTTATTGATCTGTAGCGTAAAGATCCTCTAGCCTGCATTTCGCTGTATGGTGTTTCCGGGTCGGCGACCTTGAAAACTGGTATTCCTCGTACAGTGAGCAATTGGAAAAAGTCAAACATGAACACTGCAATCAGTCCCCCAAACGGCTGTAGGCAGTCTTTCACTTTTTGCAGTGCTTCTTCCCAGAGGCCCAATAAAACTGACGTCGGTCATCGACAATTCGTCGGCAACTATACACAATACCGGATCCCACTTATCACGTAGCTTGTCGTCCGGTTTCATGATGTGGCGTGGTAGGCACATTTGGTTGATACCGAGATGGACTGAACTGTGCATCGTCTGTACCTTCAAGTTTGCCGCTGCAATACCGCTGGACGACGTTGCCATGACACATTTCGGGCGACCCCAACGGCATGCGAGGCATCGCAGGGCGTCGATAATGCGGGTTTTGCCGGTGCCTCCAGCTCCCGTTATTATTAACGGATCACAATTGAATTTGACGCCAACGACAGCTCGACGTCGGCAATTTTGTAGAGAAGTGGGACTGCAACGTGTAGGAATGCGAGGTGTTGCTACATGTTGAGACCAAATGCGCAGGATACGTTCTGCACCGATGCGAATGGTGGCAGATCGTCAACTAACGTGGGGTTTTCGGTAGCATTACCGGCTGTTTAGTCGGCGATGGCAGCGTTGAGCAGTTCCATTGTAATCTCAGTCATCTTGAGAAGCTCGTGAATGACAGTCGAGCTGTGGTCCGGTTCCTCGGCTATTAGTTGGTGTTCAAACACGTCCAGCTTGCCCAAACTTACTGGTACTGATCGCACCGAGACGTCCGCCATCTCAAGGGTTGGCAAGTCAGTCAGCTCTACGTTATTGCGGAGCTATCGCTGCACTACGCTGTCGTCGGCAGCGTTTTCCAGAACTGCTGCTTCTTCGTCAGTCAAATTGGTCGGGTTGGCGGCGCATGCGTACAAGTCTGATGCGACTGCAAATCGCTTTAACTATTGCAGTGCGCCCCCAAACTGAAAGGGACCCGTCCGGATGATGTCGCTATGCTCATCAACGCACCCTCTACTTCACGTAAACTTTTAGCTCTGCAATCCGTCGGCAACATGGTCTCCACGCTTACTTCGTCTGTTGATTTTGGTCTGCCGCCCATCAATACCTGAGGTTCTTGTAGCGAAACAGATTTTCACCCCGTGCAGCAGCAGCGCTGCTGTCACGGTCAATGCGGCCGTCCAGCACATCTGGATCAGTACATATGTTGTGTTCACTTTCGGCGGCTTGACGCTCGGAACTCGCTAGCTTCATCCAGTGCAAAATAGTGTTGCTGATGGAAATCAAGTGAGCGTTGGATCTTTGGCTGTGCATTTGGGTTCCACTGCAAAAAAGTTGACGTACTGATCCTTCATCGTCAAGAAAGTCTCGCGAATGTCGGAGCGGACAGTAAAGAAGAGCGGTTGCACGGTAGTACAGTTCTGCTTGGTCGCCGTGTTCGACGTCTTCAAGTAGACGAGCATCTGGTAGACGAGGGCCGATGATCTCTGGTACGTTTGGGTACTCAACTCGAGAAAGGCCGTGCAAGCGCTCGTGTGAAGCGACCACGTCTGGATTGTTGGATGCAAATGTGCAGGTGTCTCCTGGCACGGCAAATTTGGATGTGCTTGGCTTGAACCATGCGCAAAAATCGTACCAGCAGTACTTGTCAAGACACTTCGGGCGTGTGATGTAATGCCGGATTGATGACTGCGTCACGAGATGATCGCCTTGTCGAACGACTGACAGCTCGATGTCTTGATTTGCCATCATATGCAGACCCTCGACAAGTGCTAAGCGCTCAAACTTGCAACTGAACTTTCCGGCGCCTCCCTCCATAAGTATTGCCGTCGCAAGCGGCCCTCCGATTTCGATCGCCGACGATGCGGAGTACGCTAGGGACATGAATCGGCTGATGCCTTGTTGCATCTCAGCTTGATTTGTCATTGGTGCTGCGGCCTCGCGCTCCTCTCGCCGTCACAATGCAAGTTCCATCACATCAACGTTGTCAAGCGTGCTCTGACGTTTCGATGCGTACTGCATCGCATATTGTATTGCTTGCAGGCTATTGCCTGACCAGAGAACTCGTGCGTCCATATTAAAATGTAGTAGGCGTCGCCAGATTGGTATATATGGGTTGAGCCACTGGTTGCCGACACTGCGTCGGTATTTCATTTCGCCACCATCGGTGAGCTGTGTTGCTTTTTCAAGGTTACGGAAAAAATGGTGGCTGCAAGCTGTACCAGAGGTGCCTTTCACACAAGATGACGTGTGCTCGTATGCAGGCACCTGGTCGTGTTGCAGGAGTCGGCTGAGCTGGACGTCAGCGGTAGGTTTGTGTGCAGAAAGCCTGCCGAATCGCAACCGAAGCGCGTTAGTTGCTTGTCTTGTACTGATCGATTTACGGTCTGCGTCGAGTTCGCACCACTTGCGCTCAATGACGAAACTTGCGATATCTGTGTCAGTGAGCTGTTGTTCGCATTGGTTACACGCTGCGGTTTAGGCGGGGGTGTGCCGGTCTTTAGACGATGCTTAAACTTGGGAGGGATGTTGAGTGGATTAAGGTTGCCAGTGCAATTTGGCGTTGGGCACTTGATCTCTTCGATTGAGCGGAAAACAGGCAGCTCGGCAGCGAAAATTGACGCACAGTACTCTTCAATTCTCACACGCATCGTTGAATTAGCGAGTAGGTTTTGCCAATCAGATTTGGTCTTCGGTAACCCCGCAACCCACATTACCCCCATGGTTGTGGACGCGTAGACGTCCTTGTGCTTAGAAAAATGCTTCGACAAATCCAAATATCCCAGGTTCGGAAGTGACGCCGTCGAGTCCCAGCCGAACATCACGTCGATGAGAATTGTACAGCACATTTGAAAGTACTGCGCCTGTAGCGTTGTGTTTTGCATCGTCAGCCGTTTCATTCTGCTGCTGTTCGGCATATTTACGACCGTGCATGCTGCGAGATCCTTGGGACGGCCGTTTGGTAAGTCGAATCCCGACCAGAACGCGACCGCAATTGATCTTTCGGAATGCGGTGTCAGCGTCCAAAATATCGACGGTTCTCCGTACATTAACGCCATCGTGTTTAGCTTGCGTTGGAACCCATCACGTTCCTCATTACTGCCCCACATTTTGGCTGTCGACGCATTGATCGCTTTGAGTACGTTGTTGGCACGGCCGTGACGTTCGGAGGTTGTGACCGAATTTTCATTTCGTGCTGCGCGTTGCATCGCTGCACGCGTTTCCATTGCTCCACGAATTTCTTCTGCAGAGATTTGGATGGCACGTGTTGCAGCATCGGGGTCTGTCGAACGCGGACAAACACACCAGGTTTTACGCGTTCCGTTGCCAAGTAGTCGAACATTTAAATTTTAAATGATGCATCTTCCGCGATTCGATTGGATGAGACGTTTAAGTAATGCAACACGACGTCTCGTTTGCTATATCGATTGCTTCGTGAGCTTGAAAACCCTCCAATTCCGAACGTCAGCAGATGTGGATAGACGCGCTCCAGGTAGTAGGGATCGTTGTGCTGGAGGATAGACGTTGATCGGCGCGCGACATACGTTGGGTGGCCCATGATTACGTCTAGTGCGCATGAGAGGCATGCATCCCCGTTTACATCCACTGCTGTCTCGATGATCACGTCTCTGTCGGAAGAATACTGGTTTCGTCCGCAGCTGCACTGTTAATGTCTGAAGGGGCTGCAACTGTTTGCTGTCTCGCTCGCGCACGCGCAACGAGACCAGCGTTGTCTTCATTCTTGCCGATCCCTGTACAGAAAAAATCTCGAGACTGGTCCCCGTTATCAAACTTGAAGCTCTCATCAATGTCTTTGTACAGCGGATTAATGCGACGCAATAACATTTGAAGCGCATGTACGCGTGCGCCATTACATTCGTGTTGCTTGGCGACCACCAATTCGTGCTCCGGCGTCATTGGGCCTGCGAGAACCACTCGAAAGTCATTACATGTGCGGACACTTGGAGCGCGACTCGCAATTGTTGCATGACGGTTGTCCCACGAGATCAAGTGGCTCTGCAAAACGTTACCAGGCCCGCCGTAAACCACTTTGACGATTCCGCGTGTTTGCACGAGGCCGACCGCTTGGCGTCCGATCAGTGTGGTCGCGTCAATTTTGCTGAACGTACCTGCGACGAAACAGTCTGCGATCGCAAACCGCGGTGGTACAAGTTCATCTTTTATGCTTTCGCATAGTATTAATTTTGCATCCAGCGCTCGTAAATGTCTCAGTACATCACGCGACATCCATATTTGGACGCCATTATCTGTATGCTCAACCCCGCGTGGAGACAAAAGCATCCCTGTCAGTCGGTTATCAATCGCACCACAATTGTAGTAGTCTCGGATTGAGGATGTGGTCCATGCTTTAGGCCCCAAAACTCGCCGCATTGCTGCTAATGGTAACTCTGCGATGGACATTCTGCACGCATCTCTGCGAAAAACCTAGGTGTCCGTGACAATGCAAGCTCGCCTGTCGATGCACTCATCGCCAAAGTTGTCCACGACTTCCGCCTCGATCCGTTGACTCGTCGCCGTTTTGAATGGTTCGAACGCACCGGTTTCATTGATCGCTTGCAGTTGCTTGTACGACAACCATGGTGACTTTGGGTGGGGTGTGCGTGCACGCTTCGCTTGTTGCACATTTTGACTTGAGTGATGCTCTTCTCTGGCTCGCTTCAGTGACGACAGTTGCTGCTGGGTTAAGTCTACGAACCGTCGATAGGGAATAGAAACACAGTTAGCGATTGGCATCCTATGCCCCATTCTATCAATTCTTCTGTGCGTCAGTTTGACGAATGGGCAGCAGTTACGTTAACAGAGCTTTTCTCTGGGAGACGGCGATGGGTGGTGGGACTGCTAGTAATCATTTAACTTCTCGGCCTACTGCAACCATTTACAGCGCGTGAAGATGGAGACTCCAGTAGATCCGGCACGATGTCGACGTCGCCGCACGGTGTACGAGAAACTTTATATTCTCAGCGTGACACGGACACCTGCACAAGCCGCTACTGCCTACGGTGTCAGCCGCAGTACAGTCATTTCGTGGCGGGCTAACGAGGATCGCTTCTGGCAACAGGATTTGCCGCCCCGGCAACATTTTGGAGATGTAAGTGGTCACACAACCCAGCGTTAGCTCAAACAGCAATGGGTAGCGTCAGATTAAAAATGTTGTGCGGACTAACGATGTTTCTCGTGATTTCTCACACAGCACCCGCATAACGAACTGCTGCACCACGCTGGTAGTCAATCAGGCATCGTGAATGTCGGTTACGTCGGTCAACGTGGAACGCTCGCTGAGATTGCAGTGCGAACCATGTTCCCACTGCTCCAAGTGGGCCCCACAACAACGGCAACGTTAATTGAAGGGGTAGGTTTCGCTCACGTAATCGACACGATGGACGCTCTTACTGATAAGGAAATCGACTATTGCGTGTTGCCGACCACGTCATTGTTGGCACTACGTCCCGATTTCATGCTCTCTCAATTAATCTCGAGGCCGCTTAAAATTGTTGGCGAGATTGCGTGCACTATGGAGCTGTGTCTTAGCGCGCTGCCTGGTACGGCGCTGCGGGAATGTGACTGCGTTATGTCCGACCCGGCATTGCTCCAAAAGTACGAGGCGTTGATCCTCCAACTCGAAAGCGACCGAGGCTCACCGATTGTGCGTCAAGTGGCGTGGGACAGCGCTGGTGCATGCTTCATAGTGCGTGAGCAAGCCGCACATGGCATCGCGGCCATCGCAAGCAAGGATGCCGCTCATGAAGCCGGGTTGAACGTGTTAGTGGACAACCTCTGCGATGACAGCCCAGAATTAGCACAGTACCTGATCCTCGGTCGGCAGCAATGCGTACCCATCCAACCTCGCTCTGATTGTGCACTGCGCAAGGTGACATTGTACTTAATACTGCAAAACCAGCCAACATGGCTATCGGCCACCATGCAAGCGTTAGCCGACGTCTACGCTCATGTTGTTGACATCCAGACATACACCAATCGGTACGTGTACGTGTCCGACCATGCTTCAGAAAGCATAGCGCTGTGTTTGACAACCCCTGCTTTATGTTGCTGTCGCAGGGGCGCCGAGCATCAAGTTCTCATCACTGTTAGAGCGACCGTGCCCTCGCCGTTTTCGAAGCCCCCTCCTCTGCTGCTGGAGCGTCTTGACGATCTGTCTACGTCCATGCACGTCTTTGATACGTATTTCTGCCTCACCAATATGCCGTAACAGTACCAACGTTCAGCATATGCGCGAGTTACGGTGCTCTTGATGTGTACATGCATGCGTGTTTGTTCGGCCATTGGCCACGAAGCGTCGTACGCTGTACCGTGGCGCAGTGTTCGCCACGCTGATTGAGCTAGCCTTATCATCTTTCTTGTGGTGGTAGCCCGTCGTGAGCGGGAAAAGCGAGGTACCAAGTTCATTCACTCGTTTTTTTGTTGTACTCGCGCGTATACGATACTTGGACGGTTTTGCACAAACTATATTTCGCAGTTTGGCGGGACTTTGATCACTGTACCTCCATTCTGCCTGCTTTTTTGCAGATGCTACAACTAACCTGTGGAAAGTAGTATATATATTATACCTTTCATAGGTTGCACTTGACGCTTTGTTTGCTTGTATGTATGCTTTACTTTCGACACCTCAATGTTGAAGTCGACTAATTGAGCTACATCACGGTGCTTCCATCTCGCTAACCTTTTTGCAGGTACAATTTCTCACAGGTCCTGCGTTGTATGTTTGTATGTGGGAAGCAGTGTTTCCTCTGCCATCGTACAATGCAAGGTATGTGTTTTGCAAAATAAACGGAACTTGCGGTTAGGTTTCGACACCCACTGCCAATAAGCCGGGTACCCCGGCCATTTTCGCCATCCATTATTCTCGCCAAGTCGGCTGGAGCCATAGTGTGGTCCTCATTTTAAAATCAGCCTGGGGAGTGCAAGCTCTACTGTCCTGTCATCATTTCATAACGACGCGTAACGGAGAGCCCCGTCGGCCTGAGCATTGGCGCCCTACTCCGGTACACTCCTTAACTGCTGTTTGTACCATGTACGAAGAAAGATGTTCTCAGAGTATCCTCGGTTTGCAATACAGGTTTCCAATTGGTATCCAGGCGCTAGGCAGCGTTTCCTGCACTCGCGTGCTGAGTACCTCGCCTTCGTTGATCGAAACAACAACTTGCACGGATCGAGTAATGTACTGTCTTAACGAAATATCTACTCTGCATACAAGTAATAACTCTATTATCTTTGCTCTACTCAATTGAAACTATCCACTCAGCGAACATGAAGATCATAAGACCTACCTGTGATCGCCCTGACAGCCCGCTGCAGCAAACCAAGCGGACGAAGTTCAGCTCACCCGCAACCTCGTCACCTCTTCAGCTTCGTTCGGCCCAGTCATTCGTCATCCACGCATCGTAGAAGCTGCAACGATGGAGGCGGAATCTCTATCCTTCTACGAGACGTCGGCCGGTCTCTCGTCGCAGGACTCAATCGCTGTTGTTTCCTCGTCGCAACTTCTGTCACTCCTACGAAGGTATTGAATTTCTAGCAGTGGACTCCAAGTCCGATCAGAGGACCGGTTGAATCGTGGCGCATCAAGACGCCTCGAACGCCCGAGGGCGAGATACCCAAATGGTTCGCGGAAGCCTTTGAATCTGACGGATACGACTCGGATGCCCTTGAACCCATCGCCGGTTTACGTCCTGCTGCGACTCGCCACCCCAGTAAGACCACTGGGATATCCTCGTTATCACTTGGATCAGCGTGGACGCGTTAAGACTGGCCTAGTGACGTGGGGTTTATTGTCGAACAGTGGAATCCACGTAAGTGGAAATTTTCTAAAGTCAGTGTGGACCAACGAGATGGAACTAGTTGTGGATGTTAAACCCGATGCAACGCGGCAACGTGCATCAATTCGAAGGAGTTTCGATTATGTTGCAAACAGAACTGTGTCTTTCGAGGTCAATTCGGAAATCGTCTTCGAGAACGTCCATCGCTTGTTATCGCTCGGAGCTCGCAGTCGAGAATACGAGGTTTAGTATCTACCAGTACCATACCGGCCGGAGAGGTACTGGGCCAGTATCTAGGCCACCTCCAATTTTTCTGACCTCCTTGTAGAAACGGCCCCGCCAACGAGGGCTTCTGCATGCATCTCAAGACTAGGGCTAAAGGCAATCCGTATTTGGGCATCGACGCCCTTCAAATGGGCGGTAAGGTCAGGATGATGAACCATGCCTGCAATCCTTCGGCGAGATTTCACGAGCTCCAAACTGGCAGTATCGTTACAGTCATAGTGTATCACTACGCGACATCAACTGTCGTGAAGAGGTCACAGTATCGTACGGCAACCGACTATGGTTCATCTGCCAATGTGGGTGGTCGGGCTGTCAGCACCGCGACATCCAGCACTTGGTGGACTTCTGTCCGTGCTGATGTGGCACGCGTCGAGTCTACAATGGGATTGGTGCTAAGGTTTTACCCTTCGCATAGATAACCGCTAATAAAATTGATTGAACCAAGGTTTTTTATTAACTTATTCTCTGGATATTTATATCCAGAGTCTTAGGTGGGATCCAGAACCGTCGTGGATCCTATAAAAACGCATAAGAACATACTTCTGTACTTGATAGATTGCAAATACTAATAAAAAATCAGGTACAATAATGACGCAATACTGAATAATTACTAAAACGCTATGCTACAATGCCTGAATGTTGACCCAGTCGGAGAAAAACACGACATTCGCGCAGCAGAATACTTGAGTAACATTCAATGATAACATTCAAACAACAACGTCACTCATTAAATACATTCAAACAACAACGTCACTCATTCACACATACGGCGTCTGTCTCCCGGTCTATTTGGATCGCAGCGGTATGAAGACTACTTGAAGCGCACGAACCCAGCAGCAGCACTGGCGGCAGCCACGCAGAATGCTCCGGCACCCGGAGCTACGACGACTAAAACTGGACCGGTCGAAGGCTTCGGAGCGCAACCAGCAACGAGTTCAGCCTTTGGAGCACCAGGAGGCTTTGGCAACACTCAGCCATCTGCATTCGGTGCTACCTCTAGTGGAGGAGGCTTTGGATCGTTCGCTTTTGGTTCAGCTACGACGTCTACAACAACTGGCGGTTTTGGTGGATTTGAATCGCAGCCTGGTGCTCCCGCCACAAGCGGTGATCTGTTTGGAAGTAGTGCAGCACGCCTTGCCACTGGAGGATTTGGCGCACCGGCCACAAGCAGTGCCTTTGGTGCTGCGCCTGCTGCTTCGTCGGCTTTTGAGGCACCTGCCACTGGTGGTGGTTTTGGATATACAACCGGTGAATTCGGTAGCAGTTTTGCGCTGCTCCAGCACCAAGGACACATTCTACGCTACTCGACCTTCAACCCGTTTGCGTTATTGCTTTACTTACCTCAGGATGCTGTACGGCGTCTGTCCAAGGCCTCATACTACTTGTACCTATATAACAACGTCGAGATCGAAGTTGTACGTGGTATTTTGTTAACGTCGATTCATTGTGACTATAAAGAGCGCTAGCAAACTTTGCATGCCCGATTCGTATCGGTGCGCGGGCCTACTGATGTTTAAAGAGACAACAAGACATCATATATTTGTTATATGGTGTACAGCAATCCTTGTCCAGACAGATTGTCAGTGCCTACCAGTCAGGTGACGTAACCGCGAGCTTACTCCGTTTTCGGCTTCTTTGGTGCTCGTGCCTTATTTGGCTGTTGTGCGAGAAGGCATTCCTCGCCTGTTCCAGGCTCCACGACGTCCCGGCTTGTCTTCCCAGCTCCGCGCTTATTTGGCAATTTAGGCGAAAGGCGCTCGGCGTCACTTTGATAGCCTTCCGTGCTTTGACTCTCAGCTTCGGGAGGAGTGGTGTTCTCGAGATCGGAATCAGTGTCTTTGACTTTTGTGACCATCTCGATGCGATTCGTGTTGCCTTGAGCCATTTTGTTTTCGAACAAGGCCAGCCCCGTCACTCGTTCGACGTACACTTCCGATCCATCGGGGATCTCAGTGACGTTTTGAGCGTCGGGGTCTTGCTTCTTGTTGGTCCACACCGAAAGTCGGAAAAACATGGCTGCCTTCTCGTCAAAGCTCATTGACGGCATCTCCTGTTTTAGTTCCGGCTCCAACTTCGTAACTTGTTCGTCACTTAGCCAGATGTTCCAGCCACTTGCGAACTCTTCTAGAAACGCGATGTACATATTCAAACTGATGTATGGTGGAATTTTGGCGGGTTCTGAGGGCGTGGACGTCCAATCTGGCGGATTGACGGCAGTGACTTTGAGTAGCATTTCCACGATGTCAGGGTTCTTCTCGTAGACTGGTGGGCGTTTTTCTTGTTTGCGCTTGATCCTGGATCGAAGAAGATCAGCCAGCTCCATACTTCGTGTGGACAATTCAAAAGTGAGCTGGGTAGGCTGTTCAAATATTTACCTTGCCGTTGCAGCTAGCATTCTGTGCGTGCCCTTGTATTTGCCTGTGTCTGTGTGCGTGTTGGGAGGGGGGGGGCGGGCGGGGATGACACGAGTTTGCTGATAAGTACAGAACCGATGTACATGTACCACGCATCACCACTTCCATTACTGTACAAGAATGAACGAACAAATTTTCCAACTATGATTCTTTCTTAAGATTTTAACCAGTTTTGCCTGATATTGAATGATGCATTATATCGATCAAACATGTAGTATTAGGAATTGACGAAATTGAGCATGCAAAATTACAGCAATGCTGTAGAGATATCAACGGGAGAACGAAAACGCTATGACGCTTCTGTTAAAGTTTATCGATTCCGTATCAGACGAGTGACTTCGAATAGTGACGCAGATAGCTCGAGATTTGACATGAATAAGGCTGTGGAGTGTCGTTGTTGTAAAGTCGCAACAGCAACAACACGAATAATTTATCGTCTTTTTGTTTCGTACCCAAAACGTTAGGCGAAAGCTCGAACACATGGACTTAGCGCAAATTCATCGACCGTAGAACCTACGCAATGAGAACTAGACCTCATACAGCCCAATGGTAACACATACTGTACCAGGCGATGCAAATAAAGAATTGGCACCCACAACGAAGTGCTATGCTTACATCCTTGGACGTTGCCCGTTATTAGCTGTCCAACGTCTGCCTGGTGTAATATGTGGCCGTACTTCGAGCAGGTTGACATTGCATGGATGAACACAAATCGACTGATAAGATGTTTAGTC